GATAGGCAAGCTGCTGTATGGTATAATAGCTATACGATGGGTAGAGTTAATATTACTTGGGAAGATTTTGTGGTGGATTTAAGTGCCAGATTCAAGGACGAGCTAGGCTCGAAGGTAGTTGAAGAATTTAATAAACTGCAGCAAACTGGGAGTATAGATGATTATGTAGATAGGTTTGAGGAGCTGAGATCTTGTTTGTTGATGAAGAATACAGCACTTCGTGTGAGCTACTTTTTGGACAGTTTTATAGGAGGGCTCAAACCTCACATCAAGTCAATTGTGAGGGCTATGAAGCCAGAAAATCTGTCAGGAGCAATTGAGTATGCTAGGTGCCAAGAAGAAACTGTACAAGCCATTAAAGGGCCAGAGAGGAGTACTAAACCAATGTTCATTGTCAACAAGGGACTTTTAGCTACTCCTAGTATTAAACCAGCAAGTGCAATTCGTGTGGTGAACCAACCAAGGTTCATACTATTGTGAAAGGGCAGAAAAGATGGAAAAGGGGCTTTGTTACTATTGTGATAAGCCCTTTGAGAAAGGGCATAGGTGTGTTGGGAAGGGAACCCAGCTATTTTTGGTAGAAGTGGATGGTGAGGCTAATACGAATGATGAATTGATAATCAGACGCTGACTATTTAGTGGAAGAAGAAAACCCTCTTATTTCAGCTAATGCTATTAATGGCAGTCAAGGATTCCAGACAATGAGGGTGACAGGACACTATGGCTAGAAACCACTTCATATTCTCATAAATTCGGGCAGTACACATAACTTTTTGGACCTTGCCTTGGCTAAGAAATTGGGATGCAGGTTACACCCTATTGCATCCACATCAATTATAGTGGCTGATGGGAACCAATTGCAATGTAAATTCAAATGCAGGGAATTTGAGTGGAAACTTCACAGGACAACATTTACATCTGATATGCTTCTCATTCCTCTAGGAGGGTGTGATGTGGTGCTTGGTGTACAATGGCTAAGTACTTTGGGACCAGTTAAGTGGGATTTTAGCAAGCTCGAAATGGAGTTCACATACAAAGGCAGTAGACAGATTTTGAGAGGGCTTAAACACCAGGTGATTGAAGTGAAGCCCAATAATTTGGTCAAAGCCTTTAATACTTCCAGCCAATTGTGTTTGCTTCAGATTATCCCTGCCGGTGATGATAGAGTTACTGATGAAGCTATTACAGACACAAGGAATAAAACTTGCCCTATACCTCTTCAAAAACTACTAGAAGAGTATGAGGATTTGTTTCAAGATTTTCAAGGACTTCCACCGTTCAGGGGAGTCTTTGACCATGCTATACCACTTCAGCCAAATGCCACCCCTGTGAACATCTTATAGGTATCCTCTACGGCAGAAAGATGTGATTGAACAACTAGTAAAGGAAATGAAGCAGACAAGCATTATACAGGATAGTGGAAGTCCTTATTAGGGGTGGGCATGAAATCCGTTCCCGTTAGACTGTTCCGAAAAATCCCGAATCCGTTTTGTAATTGTACCGAATAATTGGGACACCATTTTTTTATCCCGAACCCGTTCCGTCCCATTATCAATTGGGACATGAGCGGGACAACTTAAATTTATACCGATCCGTCCCGTTTGTTCCGTTTTATCTACTCTATTAATTTATAATTCTAATTCTATATACACTCATTCTTTAATTAATTAAGTTAACTTCAAGTTTCAACCCAAAATTTATAAAATTTATTTGGTCTTAACTCCAAAGTCCAGACTCCAGAGCCCAATTCTGTCTCATTATTAAGCTAATTCACTTTTAAAGTTTTAATAAACAATTCTGTAAAAATCCAGTGGACAGTGGCTAATTGCTTGGTGTACACAACTAGTTCTTGGATGTCTTTGGGAGTTAATGACTTTTATTTATGACATTTTGTGACTTTTGGATTGAGTACCTCCCTTCTTATATTCGGGATTAGGATAAAGTGTGACGACCCGAATCCGTCCTGGTTTGTTCCGATCCCGAATTTTATGGGACAAACCGGGATAAGATTGTAATCCGAACCGTTCCGGACCGTTTATATATAACGGGACAAGACTTGGAACAACCTAAATCCAGACCGTCCCGATCTGTGCCTACCCCTAGTCCTTATGCTTCTCCAGTGGTCTTGGTAGGAAAAAAAGATGGGAGTTGGAGACTTTGTGTGGACTATAGAGAGGTTAACAAGCAGACTGTGAAACATAAATTTCCTATACCAGTTGTGGATGAGTTAATTGATTAGCTGGCCGGGGCCACTGTGTTCAGCAAGATAGATTTAAGATCTGGATATCATCAAATAAGGGTGGCACTCAAGGACATTTACAAAACAGCTTTCAGAACACACCATGGACACTATGAATTTCTAGTGATGCCCTTTGGACTCACTAATGCACCTGCTACATTCCAAAGTTTGATGAATCACATTTTCAAAGACCAACTCCGGAAATCAGTGTTAGTTTTCTTCGATGACATTCTCATCTACAGCGCTACGTGGGAGCTTCACTATAAACATTTAAGGGAGGTATTTCATACTATGCGACAAAACCAATTGTTAGCAAAAAGGAGTAAGTGTTCTTTTGGGGAGCTTAAAGTGGAGTACCTAGGTCATTTCATCTCCGGACAAGGGGTGTCCACTGACCCCAGAAAAATAGGGGCTATCCTAAATTGGCCTACGCCCACTAATCTCAAGGAATTAAGGAGTTTCTTGGGACTTGCGGGGTACTACCGCAAATTTGTCCAGAATTACGCATCTATCAGTTGAGCCCTCACTGACTTGTTAAAGAAGGGCTCTTATCAATGGACGGAAGAAGCTGCATCATCCTTTCACTCTTTAAAGGAAGCCCTCTGTACGGCCCCAATTTTAGCCCTGTCTGACTTTACAAAAACCTTTGTAGTCGAAACTGATGCTTCCCAAGGAGGAATTGGGGTGGTGTTGATGCAAGAACAACACCCCCTAGCCTTTATTAGTAGGTCCTTGGGAACAAGATGGCAGGCCTTGTCGGTCTATGAAAAAGAACTTCTGGCAGTTGTCTTCGCGGTACACAGGTGGGAGCAATACTTGATTCATCAACCTTTTATTATCAAAACTGATCAGAAAAGTCTGAAATGGCTACTTGAGAGTAAGATATCCACCCCATTTCAGCATTTTTGGTTGTCTAAGCTTATGGGGTATAGATATGAAATACAATACAAATAAGGAAAGGAAAACTCAGTTGCACATGCCCTTTCGAGGAAAATGGGAGCAGAATTGTTATGCTTGGCACTTTCTACCATTGACTCATCATTGTTGGAAGACATTAAAAACAGTTGGCAAGGAGATCCCACCATACAATCCTATATACAATCCCTACAACAGAGTAAAACAGTACCACACTATACATGAGTGGAAAATCAGCTAAGAAGAAAAGGGAAGTTGGTTGTAGGTCCTAATGATGAACTCAAAACTAAGTTGCTAAAGTTGGGACACTCCTCGCCAGTGGCAGGAGATTCAGGTAGGGAGGCCACCCTGAGAAGACTAAAGGTCGTGTTTTACTAGAAGGGGATGAACAAAGATGTTTCTCGATTTCTACAAAAATGTCTGACATGTCAAGCCTGTAAGTATGACAATTCAGCTTATCCTGGACTTTTGCAGCCACTACAAATACCTACTGAATATGGAAAGATGTTTCTATGGACTTCATTAAAGGATTACCTAAATCTATGGGCATAAATGTGATCTTTGTGGTAGTAGATAGAATGAGCAAGGATGCTCATTTTATGGTTCTCTCTCATCCTTTTACTGCTCTAGAAGTAGCTCAGAGTTATCTTGATAATGTGTTCAAATTGCATGGCATGCCGAGCACTATAGTAAGTGATAGGGATGCTATTTTTCTTAGGCAATTCTGGCAGTCCCTATGGCGTTGATTTCTTGATGTCTACTGCGTATCACCCCCAAACTGATGGAGAAATTGAAGTGTTAAACAGGTGCTTGGAGACTTACTTGAGGTGCATGTGTTCTCACAATCCTAAGGACTGGTGTAAATGGATTCCCCTAGCTGAATGGTGGTATAACACTACCTTCTATTCCTCCATTCACATGACCCCATATGAGGCTGTCTACTGTCAACCCCCTCCTTACCTGCCGGGCAAGTCAATTGTGGAGCAGTGGATAGGTCCCTCCAAAATAGGGAGGACATAATTAGGCAATTGAAACATCAATTGCAAAGAGCACAGAATGGGATGAAGCAGTTGGCCAACCAACACAGATTTGAAAGGGAATTCGTAGTGGGAGGATGGGTATGGTTGAAGTTACAGCCTTACAAACAAATAAGCGTTCAACAGAGGTCTAATGAGAAGTTGTGTCCTAAATATTTTAAACCCTTTCAAATCCTGTCAAAGGTGGGTATGGTGGCCTACAAACTCAATCTACCCCCTCAAGTCAAAATTCATCCTGTATTCCATGTTTCACAACTTAAGGCATTTAGAGGGGACCTGCCAGCTGCCCCACATATCCCACAGTGGCTTCAAGGAAAAGATGGGCAAGACAGGTTGGTACCCGAAGCTATCATGTCTAGGAGAATTCAGAAGAAAGCAAATGCAACTGGAGTGCAATTTTTAGTCAAATGGCAAGGAGTTCCTAAAGAGGAGGCTACTTGGGAGTGGTTTGACACCTTTATGAAGAAATTCCCACATTTTCAGCTTTGATGACAAATCTAAAGTTAAGGGGGAAGGAATGATGCAGAATTCCCCAATTACTGTTTTGTCCTTTCATAATTTCCCTTTTATATTCCTTCCTTAGGTGTAAGCACTGATGTGGACTCCTATATATATTTGGTATTTGAATTGTAATGAACTAAGGGGCTGTTTGTTTTAGCCTCTTAATGGTTCAGATGTCTGAATGGTTCAGCACTTAATGGTTCAGACTATTTGTTTCAGCCTCTTAATGGTTCAGATGTCTGAATGGTTAAGACATTTGCCTCTGAATGGTTAAGTATTATACATAGTCTGAATGGTTAAGACCCCTTATCTGAATTGATCAGACATTTACCTCTGAATAGTTAAGCAATATACTAGCTCTTAATGGTTGAGACCTCTTACTAGTTCAGCACTTAATGGTTCAGACCTCTTACTGGTTTAGCACTTACCTATTCAGAAGTTGCCAAACAGCCCCTAAGAATATTTTCCCAACATATTTCTCTTCCTCTATATTTCTTTTCTCTCTCTTTAAGGTTACAAGCCTCTCCTTCTCATTCCCAGTAGTCTCCACGCTCCTTAACACACTTCCAGTCCATCAGGGAACAAATGGTTGATCATCACTCAAAATACAAAGGCTTGGACGAGATCACCATCTCCGATATCGAAACTCTTGGCCTATCATCCGAGCTTTCCGGCCAGCTGCACAAAAAGCTTGCCCGAATCGTGAGTATTTATGGAGCCGACCCACCGCAGACATGGCTGCGTATCTCCCGGGACCTGCTTACCCCACACCAGCCTTTCTCTTTCCACCAGATGATGTACTATGGCTGTTACAAATACTTCGGACCCGACCCGCCTGCTTGGATTCCCGACCTGTCAGTTAATCATCTCTTTTCTTTATTTCTCAGGCATTACTTTAATATGATTGGTGTATTATTTACTCCGTAGATGATATTTTAGGGATGAATAATCATTTAGAGCTGGAAAATAGTTCAGGTCAGGTTCGAAACTCTTGTTTTTGGGTTATTTCGGGTAGGGTTTCCTTGAGTCCGACTTCCGTGTTAGGGTCATGACCCAGTAGTTGATTTCTGGTCGACCAATAAAATTTATTTTTGAAGTATTCGAATTTAGGATGTTGTTATATCCACTCATGTTGCTTAAATCCACTTCTTTTATGTTAAATTGACAATTTATCCTTAAGAGTACAAAAGAATTTACATGCAAGTGGTGTGCAAGTAGTATTTTTGTAAAATATATACTCTGTATTAACTAAAGCTACTCCTTCGTTCTGTATTAGTGTAGTTTCACAGTTGACCGGGCATAGAGATTAAGAAAAGTGAAATTTTCTGACTGAAAGTGGTGCACAATAGAAAGAAATGATATAAGCACAAAAGGTTTGCCTGATGTAGAAAGTGAAACCTTATTTTGGGACAAATAAAAAAGGCATTGTGAAACATTATTACTAGACGGAGGGAGTATTATAATACGGTGGAAAAAGAGCTTTATCTCTCTAGGCTATGGCTAAGCCGGGCGGTATGGGTGACAAGAAGCGTGACGGGAAGACGACGTGGCACCGCGGGACGGAGGAAAACACCGCCCCCCTAGCGGGACCGGGATGTGAGCGGGTTTCCCCTCCTATTTTTCCTGTTGCTCTTCTGTCTGTTGAGCATTAATATTTTTTTATATTTTTTATTTCATGGGTATAATGGTCGGAAATTAAGGCAAATCTCCATACGAAACTGAAATCAACACAACCAACTCAGGAATCCCCTGATCACCTGATGATTCACAAACAACAAAGCAAATGACATTAAATTCTGCATCGAAGGAAGTAAATGATGAATCTAAGGTAGATATTCCTCCAAGTGGATCTTAAAGCAGGCCAAAAATCACAAGTGACAACAAATCTGTTGATACGGTTGATAATAGCACTATTGACGATGTGACTGATTCAGAGGGATTTAGAATTTAATAGGGAACACAACGGAAAAGGAGAAACACTCCTATGCTAGTGTTGTTGGAGATAAAGACCTTCTAGATCGCACACTGAAATTCATTCGTGCTGGATCTAAACGGTAATAAAATAGTTAAACCAAGGGAGGTTATTTTTGTAGAAACTGCAAGATATTGGGATTCTACTGTATTGTAGAAGCAAATCCACCAACGGAGGTTGTTACAGGGTTCTTCAAAAGGATCTTGAAAAACTATTTGGTTGATACGATGACCTTTCTGAAAGAAGGTCAATATATTGTTCGATTAGAAAAGGAAGAAGAAAATGTTGAGGTCACTAAACTAAGATATTACTATTTTTCATAATAAGTTGTCCTAAGTACAAAAATGGTGGCCAGGATGTAAAATAAAGGTTGAAGGTCTAAACGACATCCCAATATGGATTCAACTTCCAGATCTAGGCTCCGTTCCGTACAACTTATTTTTTCAGCTTATTACTTACTCTTATTAAAATTAGATCTGATCATACTAGATCAAATTTAATCAGACTAGATCAGATCTCAGACCAGACCAGATTTTCAAAGAATTAGATTAGATCTAATCAGATTAGCCGTACGGAATGCAGCCTTAAACATTAAATATTGGAGCCTTTCTGCCCTCAGCAAAATAGAGAGTATGATTGGAAACCTATGCAGGTGGATAAGGCCGCAATAAGCAGAGCCAGATTTGGGTATGCTTGCATAAGGGTTGAGGTCAATGTCCAGCAAGAATTTTCAGATTCCATCATGGTTACTAATGAGGAGACAGAGTGTTGACCCAAACTGTCTTATATGAATGGTTCCCCACTATTTGCAAACACTGCAAATGAATAGAGCATAATGAGGAGAACTTTAGAAAGAAGAATGCCCAGCAACAGAAAATGGTATGGAGGAAAAAGATACAAGATGAAGATAGACAGGAAGAAATAGAAACAGGAATTATGAAGGAAGAGATAGAAAAAGGAAAATGAAAGACGCAAATCAAATTCCTCCCATGGGGAAGAACCAGAGAAAGAAGAGGAATTCCAAGTGGTAAGTAAGAAAACATCTGTTAGAAAGGGCCTAGAAGGTCTTAAAACTAAGCCTAACTATCATAGAGTGATGAGAAATAAAGAACTACTGGAGGCACCATTTGCAGGTCATTTTCTCTTCTTTTTAATAAAAGGGACTTGGAATATCAGACTAAATAGCCCTAATAAACAAGTAGATGTTAAGAACCTCATTAATAAATATGATATTAGTCTTATGGGTATTTTGGAGACTAAAATAGAAAGATATTGAAAAGAAGATGCTCAATAATTGGGGTTCTTTCCTCAATAATGAAGCCCATCCCATTGGGAGAATCTGGGATATCAACAAGCTTGTGGTAGACACACACACACACACACATATATATGTTTTTATAGTAGATTTATTACCTTAATACTAAAATATTATTCCGTATAAATTTTATACTACTTTTAGATATATATACTCCCTAGTCCCTCCATCCTAAAATGAAGTTTACACTTTTCCATTTTTCCTTTAGGAAATGATTATGTGACTCTTATAATTTATTTTGTTTAAATAAATTTAAACCACCCAACTTTCATTTTTCAACACTTTTATTTAACTCCGTGATGTCAAAGTGTAAACTTCATTTTAGGATGGATGGAGTACTAACTTTAAAAGAGCGAAAATAACAATATAATCATTAGAAAACAAAATGTATACATTAAAATGGAGTAAAATTGTTAACAATTTGTTAGAAAAAAAAGTATAAAATAAAGCAAGAACAATGATTTTCTCACTTTATATTTCAAGTTAAAGTACAGTTTTTTAAAATACCTTACCTGGACGGGTCGTAAGACCACATTCATGTTCGGACCCGTTTGACACATTTTAGCAAGTCGTTTTGGGTTCGGATCACATTGCCCTTGTTCAAAACCTAGTCTTTCAGGTCAGGTTTGGGTAAAAAATACGCCCGTTCAAAAAAGGCCAGATCAATTACTTTTTGGTCCAGATGATAAACATCAAGTGTTTAAAATAAGTAATAATGTTGTAGATATTTGAAGAAATTTATGTTTCTTATCAAACACAAACTGTAAAATCAGCTTAAAATTTGCAATTAGCAGAAATTTAAGTTTTCAAAGCTCTCCCATTAATTGCTTAATGATTTTGCTTTTGGCTCTTGAAAACACGCAGAAAATCATAGGTTCCATCCCTACCCCATATACGTGTCAAAATTTAATATAATATATAAAAAAAAACTGGTTATAGTATAAATTTTGAAGGGTATCTAATCCGAAATGGTTAAGAATGGTATGTTATACACGGTTACCATATGGATTACTGCCTTACTTGTATGATACAATCAGTGTGTGTGCACATCTTTAGTGTACATGGAAGACATGCAGATTTGATAATTGAAATTTAGAAATGCAGGGAAAGTGTTAAACTAACCAACATTGGGATGTTACTGGAGAGGCGTGGGAAAGAATTTTTGGGATCAAATTATAAAGACCCCATATCAAGTTTTTCTGATTTTCAGGAATTTTCTGTCTCACACCTTGAGGTTAGTTAATTGCTTGCTGTATTGGTAAGTACTTTATCACTGTACATTGTATTATATGTTTTGTTTTACTTTTTAGTACTGATAGGTCTCAGGAATTTTTTTCTACCAGATGTTCTGGAAAACAGTATTGGAGGAAATGAATGTTTCCTTCTCTGTTCCCCCACAATGTATTTTGCGGGAGACTCCAACCCAACCAGGTGGTCATTGGCTTCCTGGAGCTTATCTTAACCCTGCAAAAAACTGCCTGATGTCAAAAGGAAAGAGGAGTTTGAATGATACGGTTATTGTATACCGAAATGAAGGAGAGGATGAATCACCAGTTAAAAGATTGACTCTTAAGGAATTACAATATGCTGTTTGGTATGCATATGTCCTAAATGCTAGAACTTCCATCTGGTTTATGGTTTTAGTACCTTATTTTTGCTCACGGTATGCTTCTTTCATAGGACCGTAGCATACGCTCTTGACACATTAGGCCTGGAGAAAGGATCTGCAATTGCAATAGATATGCCAATGTGTAACAATTCTGTTGTGATCTACTTGGCTATTGTACTTGCCGGTTATGTAGTTGTGTCAATTGCTGATAGTTTTGCACCGAAAGAGATCTCAATAAGGCTCAAAATATCAAATGCAAAAGTGATTTTCACTCAGGTCTGTTTCATTTGATGCTGGATTTATTGTTTCTTTTCTTAATGTTTGATAATTAATCTATATATGGCGTAGTGTGAGTCTTTAGTTACTCAGGTTACTTTCATGAGTTCTATGGGGCTACATGAGTTTGAACACTCTCTATTTGTAATTACACTTCCAGGATTCTTTTTTCCGTGGTGGTAAATGGCTCCCATTATACAGGTGTTGCTGAATTCTCCATTTGTGCACCTGATGTTACTTTTTTTCTTTGTTTTGCTAACGTTTGTTGTTAAAACTGCAGCAAAGTAATTGATGCCCAATCGCCAACAGCAGTTGTAATTCCCAGTAGAGGTTCCACTGTGGAGTTGCGTGAAGGTGACATTTCTTGGCACGAGTTTTTAGAACGAGTGGAAAAGTTTAAGTATGAAACTTTCTTCTCAGGATTCATCTTTGTAAAAGCATCCGACTTACTCTCTCTCACGCACAAACACACACATACTTTCGCTCTCTCCACCAAGAAATGTTGTTGTCATGTTGTGTAGTGCATATTTATTGCCCTTCATCTCTCTGATGTGAAATGCAGAGAACTTGAGTATGTTGGTGTAGAACAACCTGTTGAAGCCTTCACAAATATTCTCTTCTCTTCTGGAACAACAGGTACATTATAAGGAAATTCTGTTGCCTATTTATACTTTGTTAATGCAGCGTAGACAGAGAAACAAAGAGAAACTGGAACTAGTTGAAGAAAACTGAAACTGAGATATAATTCTAAATAATAATTCTCTCTACCACAAACAGACTAAGGTATAAATAGGGGTGGAATCCTAGCACGAATAGAATACTACTCCAGAATAAATAAAGCAACAGCAACCCAACCCAGTTGAATCCCACAAGAGGAGGGTGTGGTGTGTGTATGCAAACCTAACCCCTACTCGAAGTAGAGAGGTTGTTTCCAAAGAGACTGGCTGAAGCACCAATGGTAATCATGTATGTTAACACCTATGTTCAATTAAAACATAGAGCAGTTGTTTCCAGATGACCCGTGATGGGCATCGAAACGAATAGGAAACTGATGAAGGGAATAACTAAAATAGGAAATAAAATTTATAAAAAATTGTGCGCCCACATCATTGTCATTCGTTGTTTTTATTTATTGTCTTGCTAGAGAGTAGAAACTTTACTAAAACAACCATTTAAAAATGCAACATGCAAGATAATACACATTTTTACTTACTTGCCCTTTTCGGTCCAGGAGATCCAAAGGCAATTCCATGGACTGTTGCTACACCTTTCAAGGCTGCTGCTGATGGATGGTCCAACTTGGATTTTCACAAAGGTGATACCATAGCCTGGCCCACAAACCTCGGGTGGATGATGGGACCTCTGCTAATTTATGCTTCCCTGTTGAATGGGGCATCAATGGCCCTGTATAATGGATCTCCACTAGGTTCTAGCTTTTCCAAGTTTGTCCAGGTGATCCTATGCTTCATCCATCCTTGGCTGATTCCATCTGAGACTTATCATTGTCTGACTTCATGTCTCATAAATGGCATACTGGAAATGTTTGTGTTTTTCTCTAATTATTATTTTTTATTCTTCAACATGTGGAACAATATTTTCCCTTGAGATGTCATTTCAGATTTTACATAGCCTAAATCTTCACCTAACTTGTTTAGGATGCTAAAGTAACTATGCTTGGAGTTATACCAAGTATTGTAAGGGCATGGAAAACTACAAACTGTACTGCCAGTTATGATTGGTCATCCATCCGGTAAGTTGCCTTATCTCAATGCTCTCTGTTGATCTAGAAGCCACATACCTATGCTTTAGTGTGTGTGTTTTTTTTTTCTTTTTCTTGTGGAGTAGTTTGATTTCTGAAGGGAAAAAGTGTTGACTGCTAAGCATAACATATTTATTTGGATCATATTATACAGTTGCTTTGCATCAACAGGGGAGGCATCTAACATTGATGATTACCTATGGCTTATGGGGAGAGCCAAATATAAGCCTGTCATAGAGATTTGTGGTGGTACAGAAATTGGTGGTGGATTTATTTCTGGCTCGCTCTTGCAGACTCAATCTTTATCTTCTTTCAGCACAGCTTGTCTCGGCTGTAGATTATTTATTCTTGGAGAAGATGGGCTTCCTCTGGTATTTCATTGTTACATCCTGTCTTAAGCTATAGTTGCACTACTATTTTCTTTCTACACTTGGTTTAGAACTTCCCTGTCACAAATGTAAACGCTTAGTTCTCCCTCAGCCCAAAAACTCCTTGATTTCAAGACTCGTTCTGTTCTAACACTGTTTTGCTCCCCAAACGAACCTGAAGTTAATTATTGAAAACAGAATACGGAAGGGGACATAGTCTTCATTTTCTAAAGTCTTCATTTTCTAGATTATGGAATAGTAATTGACCTTTTTTCCGATTTAAGCCGTCAAATGTTCCTGGGATTGGTGAATTGGCCCTTGGTCCATGCATGTTTGGGGCATCAAGCTCACTATTGAATGCTGACCACTACGACGTCTACTTCAAAGGAATGCCTGTTTGGAATGGACAGGTATGAAGATTTTTATTAGAACACAGTACAATGTTGCAGTTTTTCTATATTTTCTAACGTGTTGAGGTGTTTTTTTTTAATTCTTGGGTTAGATAGGTTCTAAGAAGGCATGGAGATGTATTTGAGCGTACTCGCAGAGGGTATTATCATGCTCATGGTCGTGTCGACGATACTATGAATTTGGGTGGTATCAAGGTCTGCTGCATCTACTACTTACTACCCTCACACTAATTCTGATATCTGGAGGGAGGATAGAATGGGTTCTTTGCCTTTAAGTTGATTGCTGAATGCTAACATTGAAGTTGCTGGTTGAGCTTATTTTCGGCATTTGGCAGGTGAGCTCAGTTGAGATTGAGCAGGTGTGCAACGCCATAGACGATGCCAAAATCCTCGAGACGGCTGCTATTGCAGTGCCACCACTGGGAGGTGGGCCCGACATCCTGGTGGTTGCAGTTGTGTTCAAAGATCCGGGCGATAGCTCAAACTATGATTATGACTTAATCTCCCTGAGAAATGCTCTCAACTTGGCTCTGCAGAAGAACTTGAATCCCTTGTTCAAGGTACAAATTAGAGCATCTTCTACACAAGTCTTTAAAGTAATTACTCCATGTTTGATCTGATTAAGCCGCAAACGGTTTGTAGGTTTCGAAAGTCGTAGCTCTACCTTCCCTCCCAAGAACTGCCACTAACAAAGTTATGAGAAGGCTTTTACGGCAGCAGTTTTCTCAGAAATCTAAACTGTAAGCAATATCCACTTCAGTGGTGATGGAACATGTAAGTTGTGATGATGAGTTGAACTTTGCTGCCCAAATAGTTTCTGCTCCATCATGTGAAAATCCAAATAAGGCAAACTCCCTTTACTGTGTGTACATAGATTATGCTCACATTGAAGCTCCTGTTCATATCAAATGAAATACAGTGATGGATTTATCCACAACAGAGAAGTCATTTTTTTCCAAGATTATCAAAAAAGAATATTTGACAATAATGCTAAATGATGTATGGAAATAAATCACTAGATAAAAGCATGTCTTTGATTAGGATGAGCCAACCATCGTAATTCAAAATCCTAAGCCTAAATAGGGCATTTTCGTATCCAAGTGGTTAATTAAATCGTTTCTATGAGTAATTCTTGTGATTCCTGGACGAATGCCCTCAAATATTATTGGGCATAGTAGAGCTAGGGGTGTAAACGGATATTAATCAGATCGGATGTGTCATTACCAAATCTGCATCCGTTTATTTTTGTTGGATATCGAATTCGGATACGGATCTTGACGGATACTGAAAATCAAAATCGTATCCGCATACGTCGGATATCGAATATATCTGTATCCGTTTCCAATTTTTAACCAAATTAAACAATACTTTAATTTTCAATTAAACTAAATCAAAATATTATTAAATCAACTATAATTTTTTATGGAATAATTGTTTTCTTAATTTTTTATAGTTTATGATATTCTACGATTATTTCATATCATAAAAAGATATACACAATACATATATACACATATTTTTATATGTCTATATACTCCCTCCGTCCGCCTAAGATGTTCTCATTTTGACTTTTGGTGGTTTTTAAGGAGAGTTGAAAAAAGGTGAAAGTTTACCATAATACCCTTAATGAAAAATAGGTGGAGTGTATTAAATGAGGTGGGTGAGGTGTAATAAATAAAATAAGTGGGGGTAGTTGTGGTATTTTACTTGTTAAAAAATGAAATGAGAAGATCTATTGTGGACAAAGAAAAATGGCTATTGGGAAGATCTATGGTGGACAGAGGGAGTATATTTTTATGTGTCTACACATATTTTTATGTGTCTACACATATATTTTGTATATAAAAATGTCTTGTACTTTGAGATATCAATAGAGAAACAAAATATAAAAATTAAAAATTAGGAAAAACTATATATAACGGATCGGATACATGGATAAACGGTTATTTAAACGGATGTTAATGCAGAGCGGATTATAAACGGATCGGATGTATGATTACCAAATCCGTATCCGTTTAACAATCGGATATCGTTAATCGGATACGGATAATAGCCGCTTTTAACGGATGCGGATACTTTCCATATAAACGGATACGGATGCGGACGGTAATCGAATTTTCGATTATCCATTTATCGCCCTAAGTAGAGCAACGTATCATCCATGGAATCGTTCTCATGAGCTTTTTGCTGTTGAAAGAGACCGACTTCTCAATGCCAATGGTAACCTCAAAAAAGATTATCCGTTTGGCAAGTATTTTTGGCATTTTTTTTCATAAAAAAAGAAAACATAAACTTTAAATTTTTGGACAAAATGCACATTCTTATTAATTACCAAATATTATTCATCAAATGCAACCAATCAGTTGGATCTATACTACTTTTTTCACCAAATATTATTCACCAAATATTATTCATCAAATACCAAGAGGGTGCATATTGTGATTAAAATAGTGTTGCCAGTGTCTAGCTAAGTTCTTTTTCACAATATAAACATTCTCGTTTCAAACCTTAGTTTCGAAGATACCAATGATACTAAGACTATTTATTAATCAAATTTAACACCTCACTTTGTTTTAGGGGGGGTGTTGAGTCCCCTAATATTCCATGTACCAATCATTTGAGAAAAGGTAGGTGCCCTCCGCAGTGATCAGTTCTTTGTTTAGCACGATTCCCTTTTGTGAAGGACCAAGCTGCGCAGTCAGCTTCCACCTTTAACCAACTTAGTGCCACCTGTCCTTCCTAACTAATTTCCCTTGTATTTTGGACTTTCTGTTTGTTTAGTTATGGTAGTTTATATAGTCAGTTTTTCCTTCCTGTTAGATCAGATTTTCAAAGACAGATTTGAGCTTTAGTTCAATGCAATTTTCCTGCGTTTATGTTTGCTTTACAATTTCTTCTTTTCCAAAGAAACTTAACATGGTATCGGAGCTTATCTTCAATGGTGTCTAGATTTCTGATTCTACTAACGGCTTGAAATAAAATTCTTTTTTCCTGCAATTGTTCAAGATATTCATGGCGACGGAGAATTCTTCCTCGCATATCCCTATCAACATACAAAGTGAATTGTATCTGCATCCCACTGATTCACCAAATTTTTCGCTGGCATCACAGAAATTGAACGGTGAAATTTTTCCATAGTAGAAACGATCTGCTGAAATTGCATTGAGAGCCAGAAACAAATTAGGATGTGTAGATGGAAGCTTGAAACCACTAGCTTCTCCTACCTTCGCACAGTGGAATCGTTGCAACAATCTGGTAATATCCTGGATTCTATACTCTGTTGAATCTGGAATTGCGAATAGTGTGTTATACTGTGAGTCTGCTAAAGAAATATGGGAGGATCTTGATGATCGCTTTGGAAAAAGTAATGCACCAAAGCTATTTCAGGTGCACAAGGAAATGGTGACTCTGGTTCAAGGTTCTGATTCTGTCTCTGAGTATTTCACCAAACTGAAAGGACTTTGGGATACATACTTAACAATGATAGTCTTACTACATTACAAGTGTGAAGGAGCTAGAAATTATATTAAACTGCTTCAGAATCAACAATTAATGCAATTTCTGATGGGACTTAATGATAGCTTCAAAACTGCTAGAGGTAATATCATTATGATGAAGCCTCTTCCTACTTTGAGTCAAGCATACAAACTGATTGCTCAAGAAGAAACTCAAAGGGATTGCAGCAGCTCTAGTTCATTGAGTAGTGAGTCCAGTGCTTTGGCTTCATTAAATCATGTTTCTGTTGGCTCTAACAAACCAGTGTTTGGGATTACTCCTAGTGGAAAGAAGTCTAAATACTTCTGTCAGCATTGCAAAATCTATGGTGATTCAGTTGAAAGGTGCTTCAAAATCCATGGTTATCCTAAATCAAGTAAAGGATACAATTCTTCAAGTGATCATGGGAGTCACGCAAGGAAGATTGCTGGGAATGTTGTTTCTGAAACAGACAGTGACATAACTGGGCAAACTGTCAACACAAATCAGGTTCATCATTCTGCTGAGCTGCCTATGACTCTCACTAGTGCTCAATATAATCAACTGATTGCCCTCCTAAGTAAGGACAATCTTTCAGACAAAGATGATGGTGGAGTTCCTGGTTTTCTTTCCAGTCACATGGCCTCAAGTGGTCACTTAGCAGGTATTAGCCATTGTTTCTTTTCTTCATATGGCAATACATAATAGATCATTGATAGTGGAGCCTCAGACCACATTAGTCCACACTTGAATAATTTTTCTTCATTCAAACCCATTTCCATACCTTGTTCCATCACCATACCCAATGGCCAAAAAACAAGTGTGCTTCATATTGGAAATGTGAAGTTACCAAATGGAATTGTACTCTCTGATGTACTTCATGTCCCAGATTTCCATTTTAATCTTCTTTCTGTCCAAAAATTAGTTTCACAGTAGTCTTGTTCATTGATCTTTTATCCCTCCCACTGTTTGATTTAAGATCATGTGAAGAAGAATACTTTGCTGGTTGGTAAACAGCATGAGGGTTTATATCTTGTGCATCAGCTCACACCTCCAACTTCACATGTCTATTCTATGTCTTGTATGTCTATTAGTGAGTTGTGGCATTGTAGATTTGGGCATTTGCCATCCAATAGAATAAAACACATTGTTCAGTTGCCTTGTACTGATTTTTCATCTTCATCTGTGTATCATGTTTGTCCTCAAGCACGTATTCATTAATGAACGATTACTTCCACTTTTAAATAAGGGCTATTGAGAAGATCTATGGGAACTGAGGGAGTATTATACTTCTATTTTAGTCTTCCTCTCTAGTCTCTATCACTGATTTTAATTTATTAATATGAATAAATAAGACAAGCTGAAGTTCTTTACGGAGTATTAATGTAAATTTGACGAATAAGTTATACAAGCTAGATATTACAGTAGCCTATAAGTAGGGGTGGACACGGTACGGTTCCGGGACGGTTCCAGTTCCGGAACCGCCACCCCATGTCACCGAAACCGTCACCGTGCCGGCCGGTACCGGTTCTGGTTCCCAGACCGGCGGTTCCGGCACCGGACCGGCC